GACGAGGAGGCTCAGGGGAGACCTCCTCACTCTCTACAACTCCCTGGCAGGAGGTTGTAGCCAGGTGGGGGTTGGTCTCTTCTCCCAGGCAACCAGCAGTAGGACAAGAGGGCATGGTCTTAAGCACTGCCAGAGGAAGTTTAGGTTAGATATTAGGAGGGTAATCAGGCATTGGAATGGGCTGCCTAGGAAAGTGGTGGATTCTCTGTCCCTGGAGATTTTTCAGATGAGGCTGGATGTGGCACTTAGTGCCATGGTCTGGCAACCACGGCAGTGTGGGATCAGGGGTCAAACTTGATGATTTCAGAGGTCTTTCCCAATCCAAGCTGCTTCTATGATTCTATGACTCTACGTTATCCCTCTTCCCCTGCCTCCAGAGGCCACCACCATGCCAGATCATGGAACCAGCCCCTCTGTGACATCAGCCCCAGGCTGAGGGCACTGCCAGCAACTCCAGTGCTGCAGGTACCTTGTTGGCAGCTGTGCTGGAGGAGACAGGCCCTCACTCCTTGCAGCTGACTTGTGTCGCTGGTAGCGATGATTTTGCTGCGCCTGCTCATCCTGCTGGCCCTGTGTGGGGCCGCAGATGGCACATCGAACACGTGCGGGTAAGTGGCCCCAGGCTCTGGGAGGGAGCCTGGGCAAGCTGTAGGGGCTACCCAGAGGGTGCCTGCTTGTCTCCATGGCTACACCAGAGCTTCCCAAACCCCATGTGGGAGCCTCAGCCCCTTGCCCACACTCAGACTGCTGGCACAACTCATCTACAGGGCTGAAGCAGACACAGGGGCAGACAGACACACACCCCCACGGGGTCCCCTGGCCCTGCTGGTTGTGCAACCCTCCCCTGTGGGGAGGGAAGCAGGCTGCCCTTCAGCCTGAGCAGCATCAAGCCCTCAAGCAGGACAGTAATGACCTTCTGCTTACAGACAGGTCTGCGGGCTCCGGCCTGTGCCCTACAGCACCATGCGCATCGTGGGTGGCGTAAATGTCCCACCAGGAACCGGGGCCTGGGCTGGGATAGTCAGCATCCAGAGTGCTCGGACAGAAAAATACACTATTCATAACTGTGGAGGGACCATCATCAGACCACAGTGGGTCCTCTCAGCTGCCCACTGCTTCATCAACCGCACAAAGTAAGGAGGATCAGGGAACCAGGATATCCTCAACACCCCAGCCAGTGCTCTGTGCCCAACACCACATGCCACTCCCATCCCATTTCCTTGCAGCATGCCCAGTGCCTGGGCATTGCGAGCCCAGCTGAGAGACTGCTCAGGGAGAAGGTTTGGCTCGTGTCCCTGCTTCCTAGCAGCCTCCAGCTTGGCATTTCTGGAGCCTAAGCCATGCTAGTGCGGTCACCCCCCTGTAACTTTGCTTTCCTCTCTGCCTTGGGCAGCAGCAGGCAGGGAACTGGTGGGCTGCCACAGCACATGGCTCTGCTCCCTCTCAGCCCTCTCTCTGTCTGCCTTCCAGTCCCCTCAGTGAGTGGGCCGTGGTGGCCGGGATCACTGGTACTGCTGAGTGGGGGCCTCATGTACAAATACGCCGGATCAAGCAGGTGAAGATGCACGAGCTCTATGATGGCCGCCTGCTTAATGACATCGCCCTGGTGGAACTGGAGCAGCCCTTTGAGTGCACCCCCTCCATTCAGCTCGCTTGTCTACCTGGTCCCACGGTGACACTGTCGCCTCTGAATTGCTACATTGCCGGCTTTGGTCGCACTGAGGGAAGAAGTAAGTTTCCCAAAAGGACCTGTGCCCTGAGGGCAAGCTTGGCACACTGGGGAGAGATGGGTGGGGCTTCCTGACAGCAGAGGCCAAAACCAGGGTTGGGCTGCGGGAGAGATGGGACGAGCCTACTTCCCAAAGCCATACAGCAGTGACACAGCACTCCAATGCCTCTCCAGAGACAGAGCCAAGCCCCAGGGAAGGGCTTCACCCCCAGACAGGCCAGGGGAATGGACAAGGAGCTGCTGGGAGCTCATTCCTTTCTCTGCTCACAGCTGTAGCTTCAAAAGGAAGCGTCCTGAAGGAGGCCAAGGTGCTCCTCATCGACTCCCAATTCTGCAACAGCAGCGACTGGTATGGAGGGCTCCTCCACCCCGAAAACATCTGTGCTGGGTATGAAAAGGGTGGCACGAGCACCTGCAAGGTAGGAGCGTGCTATGAGTCATTCAGCCCCCCTGTCAGCACTTCCCAAACACAGTTCCATGTGTGCTTTGCCTGGCCAGCTGCCCTCCCAACCCTGGGCCCCCCCACTGCTGGGGCTTCCCTCTCCTTACCCATCCATGGAGAAGGGCCCAGTGTTCCCTTGTCCCAGGGGCCTGGCACTCTGCC